TGAGGCTGAAATGAGGCCTACTTTTAGCCTAGGCCTTGGCAGTTACTTGTTTATTCTGCCCTCAGCCTGTATATTCACTTTATTAGACGCACCAACTTCCCCACCCTCATTTTGGGGAAGAAAAAATGCATCTTATATGCCGAAAAATACGGTAATTGAAGTTTCTGAACTTGGTACAGAGGTAGCCCAATGTACAGTGCATTGCAAAAGTCCAGCCTTGAGGTAACAATTTACAGTTATTATTTAAGGAGAAAGAAAAATACGACAGGAGGATAGCATGCACAACTGTGATATGCTTAGTCCATTCACAATTAAAATGTCTTACCTGAGCCGGCTTAAAATTTAAAACAGGCAGCATCCTGATCATATCACAAGGATTTAGCCACCAAATTTTCTGCCTAGGTCCATCCTGGGTCTATCTCCACTTACAGGGGTGCTCCGGCGGCTATTTCCTTAAGCCGGAAAACTCCCGGCTTTGAAAAGAGGTGCACTGAGCACCCCTACAAGCGGGAATGGGCTCGGACTGGACCCGGGCAGCAAATTTGGCAGCTAAATCCTTGTGATACGATCAGGATGCTTCCCATTTTAAATTTTAAGCCAGCTCAGGTAAAACATTTTAATTGTGAATGTGATAAGCTCCATAGACAGATAGATCAGGTTTAGCCTCTATCACAGGTTTGTATGATCAAGTGACATAAGGGAAGGGTTCCTGCACCTTTAATGACTGTGTTAAAGGGAGAACTGTAGCAGATACTGCTTGTTATGCAAGCACCTACTGAAATTCCCTCTTCAACATAACCATTAAAGGTGGAGGAACCCTGCCCTTATTTCATCTGGCATCTCCATGGACCCGGGCAAATACAGATAATATTTGACTGCTGATCTTCTATGATCTACCTGTGTAAGTACTTTTGATATCAAAATTTAAATACCTAGTGAATGTCAGAGAGTGGTTACTTGGAATTCTAGCATGCAAATTTAAATAGTCCAATGTCAGTTCTAATATTCCAATGTCAGTTCCCAAATGGTCTAAATACTCTAAAGGCATCAGATCCCATTTACTCTTAGAAGCTAAGCAGAGTCAGCTCTGGTTAGTGCATGAAGGGAGACTCTCAATACCAGCTGCTGTAGTCTGTATTTTAGAGGAAGGGACTGGCCAAACCACCTCTGAGTATTCATTGTCTAAGAAAACCACATGAAATTCATGGTCATAGGTGACTTGAAGACACACGTGCACACAGAGTTGTAAACAGTGGAATGGAAATATAAGATTTTGGAATGTATTCTCCTGGAATACTTAAGGTTACTATCATCCCCATTCTTGTTCTGAAGCCCTGTGAACATTTTATGTTCTGAGAGAGAAGCCAGGAGACTTAATTCTTCCAGAAACTGGATTGGAAAGTGCAATGGGTTTGGCACCTGGCATCAGAAATGAAAATGAAAAGATCTCTGATGTTGTGTGCCTAAGAACTATGCATAGTATCTTTCTCACAGTTAAATTTAGCACGCTTGAACAGTATGTCTCTGCTGCCAGTTTGAAATCCCTCTATTTTGATAAGAATCTGCTTATTATAGTGTATGGAGTTTGACAACCTGTATCTAATTTATCTATTCCATGGTTTTTGTCATGACCTGTGTGGATCAGACTAATCCATCTATGATCTACCTGTGTGAGTACTATCTTTTTAAAGTTGTTTTGTTACATCTCAAAGTCTCACTCCCAAGATCTCTTGTGGGATGGATGGGCAAAATGTGGCAATGGGATTGCATGATTCCCCTCCCCCCCTTTCTATTTTTGTTCAGGCTCTACTTTCAGACTTCCCTGAATGTCATTGATCTGGGTAGAGACGCCATGTCCAGAAGGTTTTCAGAATAGCAATTCACATTTTAAATAGTTTTCAGGGCTCCACTGAACTGTATTACATTGGGGGGGGGGGAAGATGGGACCATGGGATTTGGAGGTTTTAGACATTTTTGACAGTTTATGCAGCCATAGAGGGTCCCAAGGACAGAAAACTAGCTGCTAGATCCATTCCAGTTGTCCCATGCCCCATTGGTGTTTTCCTATAGGGTAGCAGACATGAGACCCTGCTTATCCCCAGTTGGACAGATGGAAATGATAGACAAACAGTGAGGCATTTATATTTTTTCCTATATACACAGTACATATTGAAACATTTAAAAGGCAAGCAGAAAATTATATCACAGGTCAGATATATATTTTAGAGAACTTGGCAATATCTCTTTAAATCTGTTCCCATCTCACCTCCAGCCACCACTGGAGGTGAGATGGTAAGTAGTCAGAACCTGATTCTATCTGTTTTGCAATCTCTCTCTGAGTGACTGGAACAGAACCGTCAGAAGTGGTTGAGATGTAAGGCTAGACAGAATCTGTTCTCTGTTAAAAGGCTAAGCCAGATAGTTAGGAAACAGAGGTTACATTTTTCCTGGTTCTTTTTGCTAACAACCCACAATTTTTAGACTTTGAATTCTCCCTACAAGAAGATAAATGTAGCTCTGCTGAAGCAGACCATGATCAATCCACTCCTTTACGTTGCTCCCACAGTGGCCATCAAGGGGCATCAAGCAACAAGCAGCATACATATCAATGATCACATGGCTATTCCATGCGCTCCCTCTTTGACAGCCTTCTCAGTAACATATACATTTTCTGAGAGGGCCAGTCTCCCATTGATCCAGAGGTATGCAGTTTGTGTGCTTTTTGAAAGCCCTTTGCAAGCAGTCTTCTAGTAGGAGTGACTTTTCCTTCTCCTAGCAACCTGCTAGATAGACAGAAGAGGGAAAAGGAAAAGAGGAAGGAGTAGTAGACAGGGAAAAGACTCTATATCTATCCACTGTGAGCTTCAACAATCCCACCCAGTGTTGGCACACATCCCTGATCAGATAACAAGTAGAAAATATGTGCCTGGATAGAAAGAAATTTACCTTTCCCTGGTTTAGTTTTAGATCTTTTCTAGAGCCAGTAAAAGAGAAATAACACAACCCTTTCCACACTCAACAAGTTGAGCAGTTTGAGTGGAGGAGACCAAACAAACGGTGTTTGTGCAAGAAAACTGGATGGCGGAAAAAGTAGTATCCATATGGTCAACAAAAAAGGAGACACTGTCCTATAAATCAGAGCTTGGAGAAGCTACATTTTCCTAGAATCTATCAACCAGCATAACCAGTGAGGATTCTGGGAGATGTAGTCCTTCCCAAAAGTAATATTTCCAAGTTCTTCCCATTATACATTGCTTCCCTATATCTGTCAAGACCTGTTTTCAGATGGGATGGTGGGCTCAGCTTTTCTACCTCTAGTAACAACTACAGTTCACAGTGTAGTTTTCCAATATGGTTATTTGTTGTTACATCCCCCCCCCCCAAGATTTGGGTGCTTGACAACCATTATTTCCAATTCAAGGGTCAGTCATCTCAATGCCACTTGTATGGGGCTGTGCTTGAAATAGTTCAGACATTGGTTGAAGATGTGGCAACCTGATTCTTAATTAGAGTAGGAACAGCAGCCCATATTGAGCCAGCCCTTCATTAAGAATACTGCCTGTCACTTGGCTTCTGGGCCCAGTTCAGAGAGTTGGTTTTTAGTTTTAAAGCTACAGGTTGGTCATCAGTTGGACATTTTCTCTCCTCACAGTAACCTATCCATGTATTACACTCAGCTGAAAAGGTGAAACAGAATGCAGCAGAGTTTTCTCAATGGTGGTCCCTGTTTTCTTTAATTATATTCCAATGACTCAGCTCCAATTTTTTGATAAAGCCTTCCTCTCTGATCAGATGTTTGGGGAACTCAAGTGATTTATTCAGAGACAGAGTAGGTGTGCATGGGCATGGGCACACAATTATTCTATGACCTGTTTAAGGGAGAAATGTAATCTGATATGATATTTGTTCTCTTTCTTTGGGAACTGACTCCTTGGAATCAATTTAAAACTTTTTTAAAGTAAAGAGAAAACATTTATTAGGGAAATTCCATGTCTGATAGAAAGGGATGGAGTCTTTTGGCTATGGTTACAGGAGTATGACAAAGACTATGGAAGGAAAAGGGGTGAGAAGAAGGGAAATTGTACTTGACAAGATCAGTCTGCAGGGAAGGAAGCCATAAATCAGTTTCAAGAAGGAGGGAATACATCAGAGAATACAAGTTTCCTGTCTCTTTCTCTTGTTGTTTTGTGCCTTCAAGTTGTTTCCGACTTATGGTGACACTAAGGCGTACCATGGAGTTTTCTTGGCATGGTTTCTTCAGAGGGGGTTTGCCATTGCCATCCTTGGAGACTGAGTAAGTGTGTTTCCATGGCTGAGCCAGGATTTGAACCCTGATCTCTAGAGTCGTAATCCTGTGCTCAAACCACTACACCACACTGGCTCTTTCTCTCTGCCCTGTATAGGCACATATAGGCACTTTTGTCTGTCATAAAAGAGCAGTCCTGGTAAATTGGGGGTGTGTGTGTTTGCCGAGTTTCACTTCCAACAATGTTTATTTTGATGTTTTGATATTTTCTTTAATTGTGGTTGCAGAGGGGTGAAGTACAGGACATTTTCTTGCTTTATTTACATATAAATCTACAGATGAAATAACCTCAATGCACTTTCAACACTTTCTTTAACTTGTGTCATAAGTTGGGATGACCCTGTCAAAGAATATGGCATGTAGGTGCATTCAATCAAAATAAATGTATCTCATCTTATTTGGTCATCAGAACTGTGTGGATTACCTTTTAGGGGGGAAGTAACAGTGTGGTGTGGAACTGGCATAAAACTTACTGAGAACTGCCAGTTAACTGGGGCATCTCAGCCACCAGATGTGTATAATTCCCAAATAACAATGCAAACCTGATTCAGAGTTCCACCAGCAGTAGTGGGGTTTGGAATAGGCACAAGTTTCTCCTGCCAGCACCTTCTGATCTCAGAGATCTGCCAACACAGTAATCTGCTAGCAGAACTGCTCTGCTGGCTATCAAAACGGGTGCAGAGAAGCAGTGGAGCAATGGCCAAGCTATGACTGATCCAAATCTCCTCTAGCTCAGGGATACAGGCATTATGACAGCACAATGTTCAGCCAGGGTGAAAGTAGTCCATCATTTCTAACATCCTTAATCTGGATCCACCACGCATTCATCTGACCTAGTGGCAGCTCAGCTGGCTGTTGGCCATCTTGGACAGTTTAGATTGAAATCTAACTTAAAAAGGGAGTACTCACCTTTGCTCTAGCTCAAATGTGGGCAGCTCTGGCTGGTCAGAGGGCCAGGTCATGCCTGCAGGCCTCTTTGGAGCTACAAGAATTCCAAATAATGATCAACCATCTCCATTCCTCACCAAAAGTAATTGAAGGTCCACATCATGCTTAGAAAAATGGGATTTTAAAAAAATATTAGTTGAGAGGTTGGGGTGGGTCTATGGTCTATTTCAAAGGTGAACAGCCATACCTGGTGCCTTCTGGGATGGAGAATTAATTCATGTTTGCCAGAAAGAGCAGTCTTGGTGAACTAATGGATGCTGAGAAATGGAAAATTATTCTTGAAGGCCACATGTGGTGACCAGGCTATACTTTTGCCCACTTCTGCTCTAGTGGCTTTCAGATCTCTTTTTCACTTATTCATTTATTCTCTCTCACACAGAGACACACACACACACACTCTCAATCTCTCTCAACATGTTACAGGGGTTTTTTTTGGGGGGGGAGGGAGGAGAGTAGCCATTTAAATCTGTTTCAGTAAAGGGGTGAAGGACAGGGATCTGTCAGCACCTTTGAGACTAACTGATACATTTCAGCATACGTTTTGCATCAGATGAAATGAACTTGTGTCTATGAAAACTTATGCTGAAATCTATCCATCTAAAAGTCACTGCTATATCCCTCCGCCATACTCTCTTTCCTTCTCACCATGATGGTAATTCTTTTGCAGGAGCAACGTGAAACATATTCTTTTTTCCGCATTTAGGAACCCACCACTCTTTCTCATCCAGGGATGTGTATTTAGGACTCAGCACCACAAACATTTTGAGTGCAAATATTTCTGCATTAGGCTTCTAGAGAAGAACTTGGAAAAGTTAACCCTTACTTAGATGTCAAAGTAACTTTTCCAAACTCTGAAGAATTGACATTTCATTTGTGATACAACAGATAATGACTTGGAAAGGACATTTTCTCTCTGGTGTTTGTACAGAAAGTGGAGTGGACCAAGAGAGGGGGGCTCACCTCTCCTTCTCAGTGCCATGAAGGAATGAGTGCGTAGCAAGCCAACTGACCTAGGAAGACTTACAACTAGAGCTGAAGACATCAATTGACCCAAGAGATGTAGGGACCACAAGCTGGCTTTTTCTTCAACCAGTAACTGACAGCTTTCTGTTATGATATCACACCATCCTTTACTATCCTGGAGGAAAAAATGCCTATTTGGGTGGCCTCAGTCCTCTGTGAACTTATCTGAGTGTATTAGATGGATTGCAAGACATATGGTTAATCAACTAAATCTTGAACTGGTGGACAGTCCTGTTAACTGCATTAAAAATCCCTCCATTTATTTAATTGTTGCTAATGTACAGATTATTCCTAGGAACATAGGTACCTGTGCATAAGAATATTCAGTGCTAAAAGTAAATGTAACTCCTGCCTGCCCTCTTCCACACCTACCAATAATTGGGCACAGTTCAGTTCCCTGGCACATTTGTGGGAACAGCACCAACGCATACCACATTAGTTAAGTTCAGAGGTAAATTCTAAAGTAGCAAGAGTCTATTTTATTCAAGTATCCACAAAAAGCATCTATAAAATATACAGGTTTGCACACCATATCTAGGAATGATTTCTATTTACTCATACCATCTGCTCTTGAGTACTCAATATTCCCATCTGTAGTAATCACACACACACATGCACATATACATCCATCCATGCACAATTATGATTAAAAATGAACAAATTGGAAGAAAAACAGCAGGCAATATAAAAAGAGATAAAAACCAAATTATCAGGCAAATAGTGAGGAGTATCATTCAAGCATCTGAATAGCCCAAAACACCTTCCTGATCAGAAAAAAATATCAGTTTGCTACAGAAGATCACTCAAGAGGAAGCACTGTCCCAGGGCAGGAGATCCCAATGCATGGTCATAACTACAGAGAAAGACCAGATCATTGTGTGTCCCCACACAAGATTGACCCCAGATGTTGGTAAAACCTGCTACCTGAGGTGACTACCTCACTCTCTGTAATGGTAGGGCTGGCCCTGTACATTCATCTAATTGGCATGGATGTGTTAACTCCATCTTCATGATGAATTGGAGACAAAG